AATAGCTGCAAAGACTTAAGCTAAGCCTCCATATTCAACAGCAATGCAATGATACTTAAATCATTCTGAAGTGGAAAAGAATTAAGCAGCATTGCCAATTCCCACTATAGATTAATAAATACCATGGAATGCTGACTTGATCAGCAAATTATCCACACCACCTGACAGAAAAACGTGCTCCCATAATGCATTGTTCTTATACCCACATCACCACCTGCAAAACACATACCAGCCACTGTGGAATAATTTTTTTAAAATGCACAATCCCACATTTTTCAGCCAGTTCAGATGTTAATGTATGCTGTTTTTACATTTGGAAGTCAATGATTTTCAAGTGCAACGCCATGGATACTGCTGCTTGGTTTGAGATTTGTGAACATGTTTGTACAAAAATGAAAAGTTTTGTAAGAAAAAAGCAACTCAGCCCAGGTGGGACACAGCAATGAATAAAAGCAGACACACACAAACCATCTTTAAAATTGGTGGAATGAGTAGGATGTAACTGGCTTTTTGTTCTGGGATTGGACCACAAACAAAGGCTAGGCTGGGGAATGGTGGCAGCTGCATCCTGGAAGGCCATGGGCTTTCGATTGAGGCAGCGGGTCCCCGTCCTCGAGTCAGCCCCCATTTGTAGCCTGGGTCTGAGATTTCAATTTTTATAGGTCTCTGGGAAATTTTACTTCTAGTACTATCAACCACTGAGGTATCTGGCTTTTACTAGAGTTTTATGGCATATATGAGTTATGTTCTTTTATACTGTGTTTTAATGTGGTTTTAATAGTATTGTATCTTACTTTGTTGTATTATATTCATATTGTTGGAACCTGCACTGAGTCCGTTAAGGGGAGGGCGGGATATAAATCCAAATAAATAAATAAAATAAATAAATCAATGTAGAAAGAAGCAGAATTGGAAAAGGGGGCTAGATCCAACCTGATGTGTTATTCCAGATGTGGTGCTGGCACAGCCTTTGTGTTTTCAACTCATTTTTGTAATACAGACATCTTTTTTTTAAAAAAAGCTGTGGCAACAGAGTCTATTTGTTCATGCAGTAAGCATCTCTGAGTCAAGAGACCAACATACACAGAATTCACTTGCAAAGTCTTGCTGCCATACAACAGCTAAGCAACATGTACTACACCTGGATAGAACAGCTAAGAAACCCATATAAATCTTTTAACGACCAAATCCCTTAGGGTGTTCACCCTCAGAGTCCCAGTGGTTGCTGGAAGTTTCTTCAATGTGAACAGAATATGTGGAATATCACAAAATCTGTAGGATCAAAACTTGAAATCACTTACTAAATAAGTAATCCCACTGAATTTAGTATGATATTTGATAGACAAGTGGGTACAGGAGCTTGCTGTTAAGCCCTACTTCACATAGTTTGTGAACCAAAGTGTGTTTTATAAAAAGCTGCCTGTTTGTCTGGAAGTACTGAACAAACAGACAAATGAAAAGGACAGAATCCAAACCAAGCTCTTAAAACCCCCATTGGCTTAGATCCATGGGGTTGGAAGAGCATAGCTGAATTCAACCCCATAGGGTGACCCCTACCCATTGATTTCAATGGGAAAGTTGTGCTTAACTCTTATTATTTAAACCAGTGGGATTGAAAATTTGAGGTTATTGTGCCTTTTTTAAGAAAAAAAAATTCACTTGCTAATATTTTCCCATAACATTAATTTTGGAATCTTGTATAAATTGCTGGTTTCGACCTTGAAAAATATAATTCAGCATTCAACAATGATGATAAAACTATCTGAATAATGAATTTTTTTTTTAAAAAATGCATGCTACTCAAGGATAAGAATTAAACATTTTCTTCACAGGGAATACTAAGAACACCTTTTATTTATATCTCCAAAGTAGTACCATTGCTACTAATGCAAGTCTCAAAGTGGGAGAATGTTTTTTACAACCTAAATGTATGTTCTAAACAATGTAGTTTCTTTCTTTTGCTTACAGAAGCAAGCAATTATAAAACAGTTCTTAGAGTCCTTTGTGAAACTTTCCCCCCATTTACGCTAAGGTAGACTTGGTGGTGAGAAACCTGTCATTCAGCCTACATAGAAAGTTAAATGAAAAGTGAGAGATACAGAAATGAATGACACAACTGGAGAAAGAAGATGCTTGCAATTGCTTCCCAGCTGCATTGCCCTTCTATACTACTTGATCCTGGTTTATTTCAAATATGATAGACTAGAAAAATACTTAAGAATGAGATTGTTTTAAAAAGGCTTATTGTGAAATATAATCTACTCCCAAAGCTGTAAAATAACATTGTTTACATTTTAATTGATATTTCTGCTGATACAGGAGTCCTATAGCTTAAGATCCTATAGTTTTAAGAACATGTTATGTTTTCGATGGAATATAACATTCTGCCATTCTTTTAAAAAATGAATAACAATGTCAGAACATCAATAACTTAAATGACACAGATATATATTTTTTCATTTTTTTCACAGTTACGAGGCTCTGGAGAGCCTCTGGATTTCTTGTTAGTTAAAAGACGATCCACATAATACAGAATGTAACAGGTTTTTTCTGCACATACTGAAACACTGAAAGCCCTTGTTATGTCTAACAAATATCACAACAGCTCTGTGTCATGAATGATGGACAGCACAGTTGAAGCAAAAAATATTCTGTATTGTACAGTCTCAGATTCAAGGAAGAAAGTTAATGGAAATGCTTTGCATTAGCCAGGGGGAAAAAAGCTGATTCTTTCCCTCCCCTTCCAACTTCTCTGTGTTTTGACAGCTGACATAATGGGTGTTACAAGTATAGTTATAGGTGTGTATGCATTTTCTACATAGAACAGCAGTTCCTAATCTGTCCCTCTAAGTTCTTCTAATTGTTAAGTTCAACTACCAAACTGATACAACCGAGAATACTTATGTTAACACACAGTTATAACATTAAGATTACATACTTGTTTCTTTTAATTACTAGGAATGCGCAACACATTTTATTTGGCGTTGTAAGGACTGAAATCTTACAGATAATGCAATCTACTTTTTTCTTGTAGAAAATATGGCTCTTTTCAGCTAATTCTCTGAGTTTCAGAGTGAAATAGTTTGTCATATCTGCAGCTGACCGAAGAACCAGATGTCTTTTTAAGTGATCAAGAATGCTACAGTATATTTTTCTACAGATTCTTTTTAAAAAAGTAAAGATAGTTCTCTCTAGACCACGGAGTTAATGTGTTGCAGCACAATCATCCCACTGGGGTCTTCCCCACCCCATATAATAAAGCTTCCAATATGACAATTCCAATACTTCCAGTTGTAGTATCTCCACGTGACCAGAGGAGGGCACTTTAAACATCCTTGCACTGCAAATGCAGAAGCACAGTGTTACCTAAAGTCACATATAGTACTGTAGAATGCTATTAAGGTTGCAGATATCTATTCTTTGAAGTTCATAAAAATATAAAATATGTACCATACCACAGGTCTCTTTGTTCCTGAAGTTCCTATCTATCCCTAACCACCACCTTCTAAAAGGCTATTTCGATTTTCTTTTGTTTTTATACCTTTCACTCAAATTGCACTTAAATGCTATAATTTCAGGGCTATGCTGAGCTTGTAGCAGCTGCTGGCTTCTTCTTCTACCTGTGATGGCTCCTTGTTTTTAGTTAATTGATTCTCTAATGCATGTCCTACATATTGAGCCTGCACATGTTGCATGCCAAAACAAACCTCATCAAGTTTGGGTTGTAGGACAGGATGCAAAAAATGCAGATTCTTCTGTGTGTGTGTGTGTGTGGAAATGACTATGAACTTGGAAATACAGGTGGAAGAAGAAAAAGTACAGCCACTACAACAAGGGCACACTTGTGCACTGGCTCCTGTTCCAAAGACCACACCCACCCTCATATTTTGCATTCAAAAATGGCTTTTGGGATGATTCCATGGCCGCATGCACAGGAATACTTTGTTCAGCAGAAGAGGTTATCCACTTAGCTTCCCAAAGATATTGCATGAACCAGATTGACTTAGCTGAGGGAACTGTCTTTGGACAAGAGACATGGGCAATCTATTTTCCAGCTAAACTCACCCAGTGGCACTCATGATGAAAGACATCCGGTCCATCTAGAACAGAATGTTAGAATTGGCCCAGGGGAAAACTGCGATCCTCAAACTCTTGTCAAGAGCACAAGACAAGGATCTGCAGAACACTTTGAGAAACGGCCAGCTCTGATGCATGGCTTCTTCCTCTTCCCTCATATTCCTTTCCCCTGCTCTACTCTATCTTAGACCCAGGTAATTCAACTAAGACTAATCAGCCACATATTAGCCTGTTCTCCTTCATGCCTTACTTTTGACGAGGAAATGCACTTGAAGAGATTTTGCTGACACATGCATCTCCACAGGACTTGTCAATGGTTGCATCAATATCTCAAGGCTGACATCAGAACTGTTCACAGCATCATGACACAGTATGAAAACCAACCAATTCTTCCCCATGTATTATTTTAATGGTATTTAAATGACATTTCGGCAGCAGTCAGCTTTTTGTTTCTGCATCTGGGCTTTGAGGGGCCAACCTTTCAAGAAAAAAAAGCTATTAAACTTTGCAAGGACACTGGCATCATTTGGGGAGAGGCCATAGCTCAGTGGCAGAGCAGATGCTTTGCATGCAGAAAGTCCCAGGTTCAATGCTGGAATTCCCAGTTCTGAAAGGATCTCAGGTTGCAGCACATCTGCTTGACACCTTGGCAAGTGGCTGCCAATCAAATGAGACTATATCAGGCTGGGTGGACCAATGCTCTGACAGTACAAGGCAGCTTCATATGTTCACCTGACACAAACTATGTCTTCCCTCGACTTAACTGTTGTTCAAGCGTTGCATCTTTTTAAAATAAAAAAGTTTATAAAGGATATAGAAATAATTAGGGTTTTTTTAAAAATAAAAGTCATCTATTATCAGGGAAACAAGTTATTTTTATATTTTTATTTTGCAAAATCATTATCTTCTTTTGCTTTTCTTTCCTTTTTTTAAAATTTGCATTTTAAGAGCGGATAGATGCCAGAAGGAAGATGTCTTATCGCCACCAGTCTTTTTTTGCGATGCAAGATAATTCAGTGAGTCCTCACCCAAACAGGATCATAAACTTACTGGTTTCAACAAGCCTAGCTGCCCCCCTTAGCTGCTGAGTTTTAGATGCACCATATACAAATGTTTCCTTGTGCCATTTTTGTTTTTTCTCAAAAATTCTCTGTGTTGTTGTTTTTTGGGTGACCTGAGCTGCAGCTTCCATCTCGCTTTCTAGGTTCTACTCAGCCTTCCTTGCTTTTCTGGTTTTGCCGATGTACGCCTCGAAGAAGAAATGGCAAAAGAGCACGAAATAGCTGAGGTACATGAGAGAACACCACATGACGTTGGAGACGTGCGAAGGGCACTGGCCTTGTTGCATCCAAGCAAAGACCAGGTAGTTGATGATGCAGCCCATGAACATCTGGGTGATCTGTGACAAAGTGATAAACATGGCAAACTTGCGGGATACTCTGAAGCCAGCAGCCCGCAAGGCGTAGTAAGTGTACATGACGGCATGTACTCCGTAGTTCATGGTCATAAACCAGCCGCCACCGGCCACCATGTCCTTGTAAGAGTACCAAGAATATAGTAGTACCGTAATGTGGTGGTACCAATGGAGGAAAATGAGCTTCTGTTTCCTAAGAATAATAAATATTGTATCACCTGTTAAAACGAAAAAAAGAAATGAAAGAAATTAGAATTGAAGCTAGAAGACAACAAGTACTGTACATTTTTAAGATGAGGGTACAAGGTTATACAGAATTAGCATGTTGGTACATTACCCTATTGTCAAAACTCATGAAATATTAGGGTGTTTGGAGACTCTTATGTTCAGTTTGTGGTTGAGAATGATTTGTGAAGCTGTTGGAAAGAGATTTCGTCAACCTGTTTTGGGGTCTTTGTGAAATAAAGGCTGCAGTCACACACACGAAATAATCTACTTTCAATGCACTTTTGAATTGGATTTTGCCAGTTCACACAATAAAAATCCAGTTGGAAAGTGCACTGAAAGTAGATTGACAGTGGACTATGTAGTCAATCAAAGATATGGGAAAAATCAGATTGTGCTTCAAAATTACCTGGTTTCCACCTTTTAAGAAAAGACTTGGACTCAAGTCATTTTTATGATGGTATGCGACACATGACCTAAACATGGCTAATGGCTATGTGTCTAACAGCGAGCAAGTGTGGTGTGGAGCTCAGAGTAGCAGGCTAGGATCTTGGAGAGCCCATTTTTGAATCTCTACTCTGCCATGGAAGCTTGCTGGGTGACCTTAGGCCAGCCACCCTATCACCCTAGCCTACCTCACAGAGTTGTTAGGATAAAAAGGAGGAGAGGAAAATGATGTAAGCCATTTTGAGTCCTCACTGGAGAAAAAGCAGGGTATAAACAAAGTAAATAACAAACAACAAGACTAGCAGCAATCGCTCACAGAAGGAGTTATCATGAGTGTTCCCCTTCTGTGTTCCTTATTCCAATGCTTATAGGGTGCGTTCAGACGCGGCATTTGTAACGGAATAGGTGACGATTCCAACCGGTGTACTTACCGGCGTTCACATGACGAACATCTGCCTCCCGTCCCTAACTGTTACAAAGCCGTTTACACCGTTGTACTCTGCCACTAGGTCCCAAGTGGTGGTAAACAGAGTGCAACGGTGGCTTCCGATACAAACCGGTGTCTGATCGCTCTCCACCGGTGCCTAGCCACTTCCGTCAGAAGCCTGAGGCTTCCAGCTTTCCCCCGCCATTTTTTTTAACTCTAAGCGATATGCGCTTGGGCGAAGCTTCGCCCCGAGCGTTTGTGAAGAAGAAAAAAAAGCCCTTACTTTACCGTCCCAGAGGAGTCCGGGACTGAAACGAGGCCAGGTTGGGCTTTAAACTTTAAAGGTAAGTGCTTACCTTTAAAGTTTAAATGTAAGGGGGGGTTTGAGCATGCGCAAAAATCGCCATTCTCTGAATGGCTGCCTGTGCGCATGCTCAAACAGTCCTTTAAAAAAAAAAACAAATGCCGACGCCCGCAGCGTGTGAGCGGGCGTCCACCGGAGGGCTCCGCAGACAGGAGGGTGAGTCTGATCGCGTTTCTGCCGGCATAAACTGCACCGGTTCCAACGCACCCATAATGTCATCGGCAGAGGGCAACTGAGACAGACCACTGGGCTACACCAAGGTCACTACTGTCTGCTTGGCTAGATGACTGGACCAAGATGACTGACCAGTATCTATGACAGTATCTTCCCGGTGTCTCTTTAAACTTAATTATAGCAATGCAAGGCCCTGATTAAGAATGCACTTGGATGGGGAGGGTTTTAACATCTTTACCCCCTCAGTTCCACAAACTTAAACTGAGCTCCCCACAACTTTAAAGGGAAAAAAAGAAGAAAAACTATAAATTGGTACCTGTCCCTTTCAGTTTAAAAGCTAACGGGGGAGATTCTTTTGATTAGCAAAACCATGTGGGGATAGAGAGTTAAATTCCCTATTCCCCCCACACCTGATCCTGATTCTAATCCAAATCTGAGCCTTGTAATTTGTTTTTAAAAACGGACAGTTTCAGGATCTCCATGGCATCTGTTTTGACCTTCTGACCTATTAAAATAACATTCACTGGCCCAAGATGAAACTGCCCTCACACAGGACTGTACCATTTAAGGGAGGTGCTGGTATGAAATTCCCCCGGTATGAATATCACATCCACATCTAAGCTTACCACCGGCCTTCTGCTCACAGCGATATGTACCATGAACAAGAAGTTTCAAACAAGGACTCTTTATTATGACCCACATCCTACTTATGTGAATACTGAGGAGGTACAGTCCAGTGACAGGACTGTAATGCCTCAGCCCTTCCTCCCCCAAAACAGTTGTGATACAAAGATCCAGGTGTTTTATTTATATTTTTGCTCCAGCAGTTCCCTGCCAAACCACAGAACACCTTTTAAATAAAGCAGAATTTCACACACGATGTATCTGTTTTTTGGGCCACTGAAAGTAAACAGAAGTCTCTGGCTCTGCATGTGCTACTTCTGGCAAACGCAACGGGACTTGCTGGATCAGTGCCAATGGACTAAAAGGCTGCTTAAGGTCTCGGAAAGAGCTTGTGCTGGCATGACAGAATCTTTAGCTTATTTTTCTCTAAACACCCCCCCAAAAAAATGTCATATCATAAAGTGCTTTTCAAACACTCCTCAGTTTTGAAAAGCATGTTGCTATGTGGAATGGATGCTGCTTGGCAGGAAAAACACAAGTCTATAGCTTGGGATCACACAACTAGTTCCATGGTTTTCTGAACCAGGTCAAAGTTTAAGATGGAAGCGTTAGATTTTATTCCGTCCTGCAAACCCACCTTTTCCAGTGGCAGAAACGTGCCTTTTATTCTGTTAACATTCTCTCTCCATGTTCAAACCAGTCCTCGTTTTTATTACATCTCTTCGTATTTGCCTACTACATATCAATCAATGTAAAGCCACAGAGGTTTGGAAGAAAAAAAGAGCCTGGGGCAAATTCCAAGACACAAAATATATTTCTCTGCATGTGTATTCTTTGAAACTCAAATAAAGAATATTAATAAGGGGTGGAATGAAAACTGGGCCTCAGTTACTAATATTTCTATCCTAAACACGTATTGCAAAAACGTCTGTTGGCGGTAACCCCAACAGTATAAACGTGCTCAGGAGAACAACCTAAATCAGCAATAAAGCACACACGCCCCCCCCCCCCCCCCCCCCCCCGCTTCCTGACTGCTTCATTAGCTGCAGAAATGCTGCCACATTTCCATAAGCTATCACAGGGCTAATTTAGTCAAATCTCAGTAGATTTTCATATATATCAAACAGTAGGGATTCAAAGACTCTTGACACATAAAGGCTGTAGATTTTTCCCTTCCCTTGCTCTGTGATGAAAAAAAAATCAACGAAACAACACAATCTTAACATTCATCATTATGCAGTGAAGTCTGCATCTCTGTGAGGTTTCCTCAGAAACAAGCACTGTGTACAGTCTGCTGAATCATTGTTTCCTGTTTCTAATTGGAACCACATGGAAACCTCAGGATAAGCAAACACGGATGTGCATATTACGGCAAACCTGATGGGTTTGTTGCTTAAAAGCTTTCTGAAAGGGCTGGTGAAGAAACCGCACTAAATAGGAACCATTTAAGTATGGCCCACAGTTACGGTTGCCAATGTCAGGTTGGAAAATTCCTGGAGATTTGGGAGATGAAGGGTGGGAGGTGGGGCTTGGGCTGATCAGGGACCTCAGCAGGGTATAAGCCCTGGAGTCCATCCCCCAAAGCAGCTGTTTTCTCCAGGGGAACTGATCACTGAAGTCTGGAGATCAGATGACATCTCCAGTCTTCATCTGAAGGTTCGCAGTCCTACCCACAGTGTCTCTGGTATGTCTGAGGAAGAAGAGATTTTTCTCTTTTACAGCCTGATGTTCTGCATGCATGCTCAAACTAGTTCCCAATGCTTTCAATGGGACTTTATTGCCAAATACATACATATGATTGCAGCAATAGATGCTTCATGGGCCCAATTTTTTTTTTAAAAGCAATGAAAATAAATCTTTAGAAGAATCAAGTGCCCCCACATCTGTTTTCATTTTTGAGGAGGTGGAGAAAGAAATACAATGGAGAGTTTTCTTCTGCTTTGTTGGAAAGACACATTAGCCAGGCGTATTCTGCATTTAGCCACTTGCCTGCTGCAAGTAACCTTCATTTCTAGATAAGCAGCTTGTTAGATCTATTTCTCAGACTACGTTGTGACTTTGGGGGGGGGGTCTAACAGGAAAGTTAATATTTACATGACATTTAATGGAAAAGGTGAGTACTAAAGATGCCACAAAACTTATTTAAAATCCATTCAAACGGCCCTCCTTAAAGTTTTCAATTTCAGCTGTCTCAGCAAGGTTCAAACCTGACTTGGCAATGTGAGGGAAGCATTTAGGATGCAAGCCAACAACACATAGTTACTTGGGACTAAGTCTAATTGGAGGTGGGCACTTAGAGAATAAACATGTATATAGGATGGGACTGCTTGGCTCTTTTCTCTCCTAAACCAAAATGTCTTTGGTCTCTGTGAGCAGTGGTTCAGTTGTTTAATTTTGGACTCTGGACTCAATGGTCTTATGCCATCTTTTGACTGCTTTCATTCAGGCTATGTTCTCAAAATATATTTTTAGAAGTGAACACATTTAGAGCTTTCTTACATGCCAAAACCCCCAAACCAAATCTGCAGTTACCTGGACTACACAAACCTCCTTACTCCCATACCATGGAAGCTGAATACTTGCTTCATATATTCTTCTATTCTGTCAGATGTTATATAACTTGCAGTTGACAACAGAAGGTGGTTTGTGTTACTCATCTACGTGATTCTGATGAGACTAGTCCAAAATAAATAATTGCAGAATGCAGAAGGCTACGGGAGATACAGAAGAACCCCTGCAGCAGTGAAAGCTTAAACTTGTGGCTGGATTGACTATTTGCTGTCTCGCCCTGCCCTAACCATGGTAATCCATGCAATGGTCACCTCCAGGCTGGATTACTGTAATTTGCTCTATGCGGGCCTGCCCTTGTGCCTGATCCAGAAGCCCCAATGGGTCCAAAATGCAGCCGCACGGGTCCTTACTGGGACCCCTAAGACAGCACACATTCAACCAGTGCTGCACGAGCTGCACTGGCTTCCAGTGGAGCACCGGATCAGGTTCAAGGTTCTGGTTTTGACCTTTAAGGCCTTTAGTGGTCAGGGACCTGCATATCTTCGGGATTGCCTCTCCCAGTATACCCCGAAAGAGTGTTATGCTCAGGTAATAAGAACTTCCTGGTGGTCCCCGGCCCGAGAGAAGTCTGGCTGTCCTCGATAGGGTTGCCAAGTGGAACTTACCTTGATGGCGGGGTCGCCATAGAGTTTTCCCTTGTATGGCCATGGCCCCGCCCCCAGTGTGCCCGGCATCATAACATCACTTTTGGGTGACGCGCACGTCGGGGAGGAGTTCCCCCCGGGGCCCTGGCCCCCGCCTGGTAGAATGCTCTGCCAGAAGACATCTGCACCCTGCAGGCCTTCGGTTGAGGACTGTGATGGGGCGTCCTTGGCACTCTTACATGATCCCCCATCCCTCGTAACCCCTCCCCCAGGGAGGCTGGGGAGCTGGAATCTTTCCCACCATCTTATATATGCTGTTTTACTTATAGGTAATTACTGGGTTTTTAACTTAGTTTTAACTTGAGATGTGTATATCATTTTGTTGTAAGCTGCCCTGAGCCCTGTTTCTAGGGAAGGGCGGCCTAGTAAATCTAAACAAACAAACAAACAACTAACTAAATAAATGGGCTTCATGTTGCTGCTGGAATGCCACTTTCCAGCTCAAGGGCAAGACTAGAACACAGTGAAGCAACAGCACTGCTAAAAGAATCCACAAGTCCTACTAATCCAAATCAAAATGGCATGAGCTAAGAATATGGGTATATGGATATGCCCTTTTTCATTTCTTTTTGCTGCTTTATGCTCTAACACATGAACACACATGAAGCTGCCTTATACTGAATCAGACTGTTGGTCCATCAAGGTCAGTATCATCCATTCAGACTGGCAGCGGCTCTCCAGGGTCTCAGGCAGAGGTCTTTCGCATCATCCACAACTTAGAGTGAACATTGCCTACAACCTGGTCCTTTTAACTGGAGACCCGGGACTGAACCTGGAACCTTCTGAGTGACAAGCAGACGCTCTACCACTAAGCCATGACCCCTCCTCAATTGCAAGTCTTTTTGTTCAGCTCGTTTTTGTTGCAGATTCCCTTGTTCATTTATGGCCGTTTGAATGCCATTGGTACATGAGCAACACTGAAATGTGTGTACATATAATGGGGGAAATGAAGTGCAGGGAAACAGAAAATCATTCCAGAATAGATTCAAATGGTTTTGAGTTGCACAAGAGGGCAGCTAAAACAAAAATACATCCCCAAGAAGAAGTCAGGAGAAGAGGCACTCACCTAGTTCTGGTGCTTTGCTTAGAACAAACGCATACGCCCAGAATTTGCTGACAGGTCCATTGTAAAAACTCTGGTCACAAACGGACGTTTTTAGCCCTTTGGTCATCAAAATGTATAGCATATAAGCACCCGTTCGAACAGCACCGAATATACTTCACGACCATAAAGAGAACACAAAGAACAGGCAGTGATTAGCATGCCAAAAAGCTAGACAGGTTCAGAGAGACCAGGGAAGAGGTTCTAAGCAAAAAGATGGCTAGGGGTTTTACACACACACACACACACACAAACACACACACAGTCCTTTTTATAAGGCTAAATCATGCTTGAGGATATTTATGGAAACTTATTTCCCTGCATCTATGATGCATCTATATGGAGCACAGGTCTTGCAAGATTTACTGGAGCCGATAACCCCGGGCAGACAATCCAACCATATGTTGACTCACCACACAGGGAGGAAAAGAGAGCGCAAGTGCACTGGCCTTGCCCCCTTCCTCTGTGCAATTGCCAAGTCGTCAGAATGTGTGAAGAAAGTGTCCATATGTACGCTCCCTGCCCATGATCAGCAGCATTTGGAAACGAGTGTTGCTGATCACAGGGAGGAGGCATCCACACAGGTACTCTCTCCGTGAGTTCACTGTGCAGCCGACTCAGTGATCCCATGGAGGAAGGGTTGGGCCAGTGTGCTCCTGCTGTCTCCCTCCCCACATGGCGAGTCCACACACCAACAGACCTTCTGCACAAGGCCTGAGAAGCCGTGTTAGAGCAGGTTTACAGAGAGGACTCAAGAATACAGAATATTGCTGCTGCCATTCCCCACACTCCAAACAAAGACGTACAGGACAGGACAGGTAGATACAATTGTACTACAATTATGATTGTATACTATGCATGACATTTTTATTATATTAATCATGCAAATGACTATAAATAACATCAAGGCACATTTCATTATTTTTTCCTTAATGAAGAGTTTAACTATCCAGATTTGCTTAAGTCCCCTTCAAGCAATTCCTAAAAGAGAGTTACAAACATCATATGACTCTTCTCTCTCTCTTTTTGCAGCTGCTCTGTGTTTTGGATAATTTTATCCCATCTTTTGATTTTATATAATTGGAAAATTTTATCCCACCTGACACAGACTAATCATCAGCAGGGAACAGTGTTGTAGTATTATTATTATTATTGTTGTTGTTGTTGTTGTTATTATTTTGAGGCACAAATATGTTTCAGTCCGATTGGGACATGTCTTTATGTATCTCTCTCTGTGTACACACTAATAGAAGGAGAAAGACTACATTTAATATAAAACCTTCTCACATAAGACAACAAATAGTTAATGAAAAATACAGTCCCTGATTATTTTCCCCTCTCTTTGCACCTTAACTTTTCATTCATGGCAGAGTGATCCCAGAGTGAAGCTCAATAGCATTCCACAGAACAATCACTCCACATTAGTTTTCCCTCCTTTGTTAGGAACAATAGATGTGTGGAAGACTGAACACTTTAAAAGGAATAGAACAATTAAACAGAGCCGGCAATATGACATGCTACGCGGGATAGCACATTTTGTATTACTGAGTAGCAGTAACGGAAATATCCTATTGCACTTTTCCTTTCTTATTTAAAACAGATGCATTTTAAATAAATCTCTTTAATTTCCCTATTTTTTCCTCCTTATTGAAGTTTTTATTTAACCAGAGCTGCTAAGTCTCTTTTGAGCAATCTTTTACAGAGAGCGTGCATGTATGTTTGTGTAACTGGGGGGGGGGGGGGGGGGGAGAGGAAACACAGATTACAGAAACAGGTCCCAGTCTAGTTTATGCACCTTCACTAGACTGTTGGGAAAGAATTCCCATACCATTCAAGTGCCATTCAGGGGAGAAGGACCAGGATATAAATTTGATAAATAAAATCCGTCCGTCCGTCCGTCTGTCTATCCATCTAACCATCACATTTATACCCTGCCTTTCCTCATGGTTTAAGGCAGTTTACAGCAATAGTTAAAAAACAATTTCAGTTAAAACCAAAATAAAATAACAAGCCCCATACTTCTCCCTCCCCTTCTCCTAATCACCAGAGAAGAGCCCTGTAGCATGTACAGTGATATGTATCAGTGTGGGTATAGGAGGTCTATTCCAATAGTCAAGTGAAAGTGAATAGACTGGCAGAGACACTGCCACCCCCGTGCATATTCGCTGCCCCTAGCTGTCTGAGAGGAGTTTGACACATTAGAAAGTCAACCAATCTGTGTCTGAATGTCCCAATCAGACATAAGCCTATAACCTGGTCTGTTTGGTTCACACTGAACCACTGGAACCTCTGCCAAACAAGTCTGCATATTTTTCTTCAAAACTGAGCATGTGCCCAAATCCAATCCAATCCAAACAGACTGGTAGCTATTAATATTGCTAAGGACTGCTTAGACAAACACCGAATAGTATGAATAAAAAACCCCAAAACACATAGCATTTATGATTGATTTGTATGCTTTTTGGCTGAATTAACTGTTTATGACTGTTTCCATGACAGCGAGCCCCCATTTCCCCTACTGTGCCATCAGAGGGCTTTCCTTTGAAAACTGGTAAGTGCTAATGCCAAAGGGTGCACTATACAATCCCTGAATTCCCAGTTTTCATTTTTTTTAAAAAAAAAGCCTTAAAAAACTTTAAAAAAAACCTTTAAAAAGTTTTTTAAAAACACCCTTTTTTGGTGTGTACTTTCACAATAGCAATTACCAATTTTCAAAAAAAATTCAACCCCCCCCCCCAGCCCTGGATGCATAAAAAGCTTCTTGCCTGTACTGTTCTGTTAGGAAGGAATACAGTAACGTGCCTGCTGTACAGCCACAAATGGATCAACAAATTGTTGAACCCAGGGGTCATTTTGTAGAAAAAGAGCGGCAGGAGTTTATTAGCATACCTAATAAGCATAATAGCTCATTAGCATATGCCACACCCCCTGACATCACCGGAAGTGATGTCAGAAGGGGAAGCAAAAGGGGGGAGGCATCTTCCAAAGCCTTTCCTTCTCCAGCTGGCCTGCCAAGGCGGACTGTGGGGGGGGGGGGGGGGAAGCTAAGAGAGAAGTCATCTTTCCATTATATTCTATGGGGCCATAGAATACAATGGAAAGATCGCGCTGCCACTACGGCGCGAGTCCAGAGAGAAAGGGTTTAAACTTTAAACCCCTTCTCTCTTCGCTCCCCCCCCCAGCCCACCTTGCAAGGCCAGCTGGGGAAGGGAAGGGGAGGCTTTTGAAGATGCCTCCCCCCTTTTTTGCTTCCCCAGCCAGCCTGCTTCTGGGCCCCCCCTGCCCTCTCCTGGCTCGCCTGCCTGGCGGGTGAGCCAGGAAGGGCTGGGGAGAGAGCGGGGAGACATTTAAATTCTTCCCCGTGCCTTCCTCGGCTCGCCTGCCCAAGCGGATGAACAGAGGAAGGCTCCTAAAGCTGACCCCCGCCCTCTCGTGGCTCGCCTGCCTGGCGAGCAAGCCAGGAAGGGCTGGGGAGAGAGAAGGGAGACATTTCAATGCCTCCCCGTGCCTTCCTTGGGAGGCTCCTGAAGCCCACCCCCGCCCTCTCCTGGCTCGCAGTGGCGGCGCAATGCTTCCATTATATTCTATGGCCCCATAGAATATAATGGAAAGATCACGTGGGGGCGGGGCTGCCGGGGCGCTCCGGCCCCAAACGACCCCTGGTTAAACCTGTAATCAAAGAATCTGCTCCCTGTTGGTCTTAAAGGTGCCACTGGACTCTAAATTTGTTCTTCCTGTTCATAGTTGGTGAACAGGATGTGAGCTGAATCAGTGGATGTCTGAGCATCCCTGGCTCATAGTGCTAGGATGATATACCAGTATTCGATTTGTTCAGACGCACTGACTTCTTCTTAACAGGGCTTTCTGGACAGAGCGTATCAGTAAATTGAATGTTAGCATATTATTGTCCTCCTCCTCAATGGCTTGCCAGTAGGACGCTACCATCACCTCCTCCATTCTCTTGTAGGCTTTGTTTCTTGGGATGGTTGAAGTTTGTGCTTCTTTTGTCTCACTAAGTGCTTCCTTTCCCACTTTTGCCCACTCACTTAATGGCTTCTTAGCTATTACTACTCCCTCCTCTTCCTGCTGAGGCTGGCTCCTGTCCCTCAGTGGCTTCTATGGAAGCCGCTCAATCTCCTGCCTCAGGCAATTGGCTGCTGTGGTGAAATAAAGATCCCTAATAGGATCTCCAGTGGGAGGAGGTGGCACTGACCAGTTGGCTAGTCCAGTAGAGCGGTGACACGCCAGCATTAAAGGTACAGGCATGCTACAACACATTTAAACTTTCTTTTTATTTCACCTGTTTGCTCCTTAAATGAACAGGTAAATCCCACCCACGTATTCTCTGGTGGTCCTGACCTGGATAGGCCAGACTAGCCTAATGTCATCAGATCTTGGTAGCCAAGCAGGATTAGCCCAGATTAGTACTTGGGTGAGAGATTACCCCTGAACATCTCTTGCCTTGAAAATCCTACAGAGTCACCATAAGTCAGCAGTGACTCGACGTTAAATATAAATTTCTCTAGAGACTTACTGTACATGGGTACACATGTGGCTTCCCTAGGGGAGCCTAACAAAGCTTTGCATGTGCATGCACATGAAAACTTATACCCAGAATAAAACTTTGTTGGATTTAAAGGTGCCACTAGACTCAAACTTTGTTCTGCTGCTTCAGACCAAAATGGCCTGACCAGGCTAGCTCAATCTCGTCAGATCTCGGAAGCTAAGAAGGGTTGGCCTTGGCTAGTATTTGGAAGGGCAGCCTCCAAGGAATACCAGGGCCGTGATGCAGAGGCAGGCAATGGCAAACCACCTCTGAAAAGTCTCTTGCCTTAAAAACAAGTCTAGCTCACCACCTAGTGGTGCATAACACTAAAAGAGCTTGAACATTTGGCTGCAAGACAGTCTTAGGATCTCCTGGCTATTCTACACACATTGCCATGTTGTTGTTGTTATTATTCCAAAATGGTTACCCACCTGAATCTAAGGCAACCTAGTAATTCAGGTCAAATGCAATATTTAAACCAGATAATTAATTGTCTTGGTATATAAAAGAAAGAGTATGCTTGCCTTGCATCATTGGTAGCTGCTACATTTGCTCATCCACTCTGTTATATCATGGTGGAGTAAATGAAACATTTCTAAATCAACATGTCAAAGCCAGGCGTACTTTACACCCAGTGTTGTGTTGTGGTCAGAATGTCAGAAAAGGACCTGAGAGACACAGGTTTGAACCCCCATTCTGTCATGGAAGCGTGTTGGGTGCCCTTGGGCCAGTCCCTCTTTCTCAGCCTAGTCTAACCTCTCAGTGTTGTTGTGTGGGAGGGAGAGAGGCATAATGTTGTAAGCTGCTTCAGGTCCCCTTTGGGGAGAAAGCAGGGTATAAATAGATAAAATAAATAAATACATCTTTAAAGCCAGAGGTCCCCAATCTCATCGAACCTGTAGGCACTTTAGTAATGCTGAGGAAGGGTAGTGGGCACTCCCATTAAAATGGCTGTTGGGAGGTCACAAAATTGCTGTTGTAAGAGGTGCAGCCAGTAACAAAATGTCTGAAATGGGGGAAGGGTAAAGGAGATGGGAGTAAGCAGTGAAGTGGCTAAATTTGCGGATGATACAAAGTTGTTCAGGGTGGTGAAAACCAGTGAGGATTGTGAGGCACTCCAAGGGGATCTGTCAAGGATGGGCGAGTGGGCGTCAACATGGCAAATGGGGTTCAATGTGGCCAAGTGCAAGGTGATGCACATTGGAGCCAAAAATCCTAAATATAAATACACATTGATGGGGTCTGAACTGGCAGAGACTGAGCAAGAGAGAGATCTTGGAGTTGTAGTAGATAACTCACTGAAAATGTCGAGACAGTGTGTGACTGCAATAAAAAAAGCCAATGTTATGCTGGGGATTATTAGGAAGGGTATTGAAAACAGATCAGCCAATATAATAATGCCCCTATATAAATCAATGGTGAGACCTCATTTGGAATACTGTGTGCAGTTCTGGGCACCACACCTTAAAAAGGATATTATAGCTTTGGAAAAAGTGCAGAAAAGGGCAACTCGAATGATAAAAGGGTTGGAACACTTTCCCTATGAGGAAAGGTTAAAGCGCTTAGGGCTCTTTAGCTTGGAGAAAAGACGACTGAGGGGTGACATGATCGAGGTTTATAAGATTATGCATGGGAAAGAGCAGGTAAAGAAAGAGGTACTTTTCTCCCTTTCTCACAATACAAGAACTCGTGGGCACTCCATGAAACTGCAGAGCGGTCGGGTTAGAACGGATAAAAGGAAGTACTTCTTCACCCAAAGAGTGATTAACACATGGAATTCACTGCCACAGGAAGTGGTGGGTGCTACAAGCATGGACGGCTTCAAAAGGGAATTAGATAAGCATATGGAGCAGAGGTCCATCAGTGGCTATTAGCCACAAGGTATAGCTAGGGGCTCTGGGGCAAGTGATGCTCTGTCTTCTTGGTGCTTGGGGGGGTCAACAGTGGGAGGGCTTCTAATGTCCTGGCCCCACTGCTGGACCTCCTGATGGTACTGGTATTTCTGGCCACTGTGTGACACAGAGTGTTGGACTGGATGGGCCTTTGGCCTGATCCAACATTGGCGTCTCTTATGTTCTTATGATCAGCTCTTTGCTTTGGGAAGAGATGCTGGTCAGTTTCAGGTTTTGAAGAAAGGGAAAGGTTTGTTCCCTGCATAGCCAAGGGGAGGGATTGCCAGGTCCAGAGGCACTAAATTTGTGTCCACGGCCAAGGTGAGAGTGCACAACTGATGCATAGGGTTGCCATGCTTTAGACGGGGCTTGGAGATCTCCCAGAATTACAAACAAACTCCAGATGACAGAGATCAGTTCCCCTGGAGAAAATGGCAACTTGAGAGGGCAAACTCCATGGCACAATATACTAAGGAGGTCCCTCCCCAAGCCCCACCCTCCTCAGGCTCTACCTCCTAAAAACCAGGTATTTCCCTACTTAAGAGTTGGGAACCCTACTGGTGTATCCAGGAACTCTTTCCATATTAGGCCACATGCCCCTAATGTTGCTAATCCTCCAAGATCTTACAGAGCTCATCTTACAGGGGCTACTGTAAGCTCTTGGAGGACTGGATACATCAGGGGTGTGTGGCCTAATATACAAAGGAGTTCCTGCTACAAAAAGAACCCTGGGTGTATCTGCCTAGGCTAAATTTAGTGGTTTGCTAGTCAGAACCACCTGATTTTTCTTTTCTGTCCCATTCAAGACTATTTTGATGATATCACCGGGACTCAAGAATTTATATTCAGGAGGGCATTTTTATAGAAAAAATAATGACGTGGAAAACATAATCCTGGCATAATCTAGACAGGCAACAGGCTCTAATTTTCAATGCCTGTACAAATATTAGGCAGTTTTCTCTTCCTCTCCTGTTGTATTCCATTGTTTGTTGGATATGTTACACTGTCTTTATTACAATGCCGTCTAATGTGAAATCCAGTTTATTTCATCAATGTTCTTGAACTCCAATTTATGGGATATTATACATTTCCCCATAATTCTTTAATTATGTAATCCAGTTTTATCGCATTGTTCATTGTGTATATTACAATGGCCTTTACTGCCTTGTTTTTATAACTCCGTAATCTGCCTTGAGGCTCAGTTTGAAAGGTGGATGATGAATGAAGCAAATAAATAATCAGGCGACAAGAAACACACTGGTGGGCACTGTGGTGGCCAGAGGTGACACACTGGGGATTGGTCCTGTAAAGTAACATGTTTAAAGGGAGAAGCAACCAGATTTTATTTTTTTTAAAGACACAAGGATGCACACATACCTGGGCAAGATTCAGTTTTTAGCTTAAACCCTATGTTTGGCAAGAAATATCATCCTGAGAATTAGTGAAGACATTTAAGAATCTTTAAAATTACCTCAGAGGAATTCACAAGCATGATATAATATTTAAATAATCCTTAAAGGATTCTTTGGGGAAATAGTCCTGTGTTATTACTGAAAAAGCCTTCACTCCTAACAGTATCTCTTTGGGATAATGGCAGTAATCTGGAGATTTGAAGCATAATCCTCCTACCCGCTGGCAGCAGAATACCTGTTCTTAAGAGGAAATTTAAGGGTCTTACCAGATCAAAGTTTTTATAGCAACTATAATACTTGCTGCTTCAATATATTCTCAAGATGAAAATTATCTTAGGCAAATCATGTGAAAACTAAAAAAGTAAGAAGACGAGTCAACCTACCCAACAAGACTAAAACTATAAAACAGAAAATAAATGGAACAGAAATTACTGAGAAGGTACTTGACAGTTTGGGTGCAAGCAATTACAATAAATTGACCAGGCCCATAAAACAATTGGCAATTACAGAGCCTTAAACTAATAGATTTCCTCAGATCTTGCTTGTCCTTGAGTCTGGCGAAATGGCCCTTGGTCATTAGCAGTTCAGCATGAATGAAAATCTGAAAAACTGGCCTTACAGCAGATCAGTAAGGAGAATTCCAATATAACTAAGTGTTCCAGAATGTTTAAAAAGTACAAAATGGAATTTTGGAAGTACAAATACTAATTTACTTCAATATATTGTTTAACTGTACAGCCTTAAAGCTCACTGGGTAACCTTTGGGAGGTCACACTGTCACCCTAAACTACCTCATGGAGTTATTGTGAGGACAAAATGGAGGGAAGGGGAGAAGCATGTATGCTGTCTTTTGCTCTTTGGAGGGTGGGCTTGACAGCGATGTGAAAGAAGCCCGTGTCTGTGAGGACCGGTGGTTTGGAGAGCATCTCTGCTCGATAAGATGGAGTTATACAGCAGCCAGGGATTTAAACATCTACAGCCTTACCACATGGTGGTGCTTTCACCACACGAGAAATATGCTTGCTCAAGACCCATTTGTTTTGCTAGAGCTCTTGCCAGATTTGTCCCCAGTGGAGTGTGGTCAGTACAGGTGCACCTTTGATGCTAAAGTCTGCAATGTATATATATATAAGAGGGGATAAAAAATCTTAGGTGGGAGGAATTAGTGCCACAAATAATTCACCCAATGGGCCCTCCCTAGCTATAGCATTGGACTGTGCAATCATCAGGTTTTGTTAAAAATTCCAACACAGCCTTGGTAAATTCAGCAAAGCTGAGTTCTTACATTTACTAAAGAAGTGTACTTTCCAGAAAAATGTATAAGTTTGTGTGAAAAGTTTACAGTGTGAAGGGGACATATGGTAGCTCAACAGAATTTTCTCATTCATATATGACTTGGCTTTGGGGAGCATTCTTTGCGTTCCTGTTGTGATATGCTGGGGGAAAGCAACAGGCATATTAAAAACCTAGTAATTATAGTGTTACCATAACGTTCTTATTCATTTCAACCTGTCCATAAATGCATGCAAACAATTCCTTTAAGAAGGGGCTTACCTGAAGAGTGCAAGACACAGAGACCAGAGCACTAGTGGTTTCCTCAGTTCAAATTTTGCTCTCTTATTCATTACATGCCGACCACCAAATATAAAGGCAGCATACAGAGCAGAAAATAGGAAAGATTTCTTCCTGTAAAAAGAAAACCAAAACTATAATCACTCTATGATATTCAGTCAGGGTTTCAGCTGCATGCAGCGAAAGCAGACATCCACAGAGAAAGCTGTCTGTTCTGCACCACTAATCTGCTAAAAAGAAATAATTTTGCATCTTTGAATTGGGTGTGATTAATCCAGACATCATGGAATGATCTGTCCTCAAGAGCAGGCTGGTGAGTATCTGTATGAGTTACTGATGCTCAGAAGGAATAATTCAAGTGGTGCATCTGAATGTGGATTATTCTTACAAAGCATTACGGGTCAGTGGACTAGCACACATTTCGCATGCAGAAGCTCTCAGGTTCAATTGCTGGCAATAGCAATTTAGGTAGCAGTTGTTTGGAAAGACCTTTGCCTGAGACCCTGGAGAGCCACAGCTGGGCAGCAAAGATAATACCACTTCAGATGGACCAATGGCGTGACTTGGTGCAAGGCAGCTCTGTATGTTCATATATGACTCTAGACTAAACTTTTGAGCATATGAGCAAGTGGAAGAATTCTGCCATGTCAGATTGGCTGGCAGTTTGAAACATATCACTTATCCATGTAGTATGTGGTATAACCACTTTCACGAGATATCTTTGTTTCATTATTATATTTATTCATGCCAAACAGACTTCTATCACAGCATGCCACTTATTTGCTTCTTGTTTCTTCTAGTAGCATGCTAACAATATGGAAGATCACAAGGAGAGGTTTTCTGTTATACAGAACCATCTGTTATGAATGCTGGGTGTCATAGAGGCGGGGGTGGCGCCCGGAGTAAGATTATGACACTTCCCCCTGACCCATATTGTCTGAAATTTAATTGCAATTGAAAAGAGAATATGCTAACCAAGATACAATGTTTTTTTGTATTCATATTGATAAGGAGAGAGCCAGTGTCATGTAATGATCAGAGCCCAGCAATAATGACCTCACTTAAATCCCCACTCAGCGATGAAGTTCACTGAGTGGTCTCTTGGACCAGTCACTCTTGCTCCGTCAACCAGTTTTTAAAGTTTTTTGCAATGAGAACATGGAGCCAAACGAAGTCCCTTGGAGGAAGAGTGGGAGAAAATTTGAGAGACAGACAAGTAATTAACATTTTGGCTAGGAATCGAGCCCTGAGCATTCTAATTCTTTCCAGATACTCCTGAAATACTGGCAGGGTTCCTATGTTAGCCTGTAGCAGCAAAACTAACAGAAACTCATTGACATCTTAATGATCAATAAAAATTTATTCCTTGCACACTATAGATGCTAATCAATAAATGCTTCTAATGAAGCAAGTTGACTCAGGAAAGTTTATGAAGGATTAAACTTTGTTGTTCTGCAAGGTGTCACTTAATTCCCATTTTATTTCCTGTAATAGTGTAATTTGCAGTAACAGCTCTCACACAATAGTCCTTCATAGGTACAGTACAGAACAGTAAAAATAAACAAAATCCCAAAGAAATTTACAAAGATTTAGAGTAGCCTAGGCAGAAAGTATTTGTGATTAAAACAAACAATTTAAAGTACTTCTAGCTCACCCAGCTCTCAAACTAAGACCAAGCTTATGGAGATGCAGGTCTAAGATTCCAGTAACATATTTCTAAAAACTTTATTTTTAATACAGACTCAGGACAAAAACATAGCAATAGGCTTGAGGCTGCCCATTCTGGTCCCTCAGAATGGATCCATTGGGTTTTACAGTGGGTGGTGCTTCACATTTTAACCCCGCCCCCTTAGGGGTGCTAGGTCTGGGTTAGAAAATACCTGGAGACTTTGGGAGTGGATCCAGGTAAGGGTGGGTTTCGGGGAGGGGAGGGGCCTCAGCATGGTCCAATACCATAGAGTCCACCCTTCAAAGCAGCCATTTTCTCCAGGGGACCTGATCTCTGTCAGCAGGAGATCAGTTGTAAAAGCGGGAGATCTCCTGGCCCCACCTGGAGGCTGACACCCTACCCCGCTCTTATCCACACCAGGACTTCTGCATTACTTGTAGAAGTTTTTTCCATGATTGGTCCAATGAAATACACCAGTTTTTCTACATTCACCGAGGAATGGCTTTGATATGTAACAGCATCAGTATCTCCAAAATAAACCCGCCAGCACCTCTTATCATAAAGTAAACCATTTCATGCCTTAGGGGAACAGCAAACAAATGAACAGACCAATCAAAACTTTTAAAATGATGGAGGACACGGACTTCCAATGGCTTACATTATTTCCCCCCCAAAACAAACAAAAAAATCCAATTCGGTCCCTCTGAAACTGTACCCATTCCATTTCCTCATTTTGATCACTTCTCTGTACATTTTCTTTGGTTCCATCAGCTCTTGAAGGGCTGATATTGTACAATTACTTTTGAACTCACAAAGTTTCTGTTGAATCTGCCTTTTCATTCTTTTAAAGTCACTATTAAACCAACTACACTATTCCTCTTAACTTCGAAGGGTGTCCTATCAAGGTTCTTGTTCACATAAAGGGGTCCGAACAATTTTAATACCTCATCCAAATTATGCAAACGGTTGAGCACTGAATCAGACTGCAAGACATGTTAACAAGAATATTACAAGGGATGGAACCCATTATGGTTCTAGTCTTGTCACTAGAGCTAGAGCTCCAGCATAATCAACAAACTTTATTTTGATTTTGAGAAAGAGGGAAGCTGTGTGCTGGAATAGGGTAATGTTCTAAAGACCATTCAATGGAATAAAGGTCCTCTGAATCACAAATTTAGCCAGCTCCAAACCAACTCTGTTTATTATATCATCCTTAAATTTCCTATTACGCCAAGCAGGCCTGAGAAATTCATCATTAGCAGGGCCTAATAGTTTAGAGAAAAGTGTATAATCATCACTGTCGATCCTTGCATTAAAGTACCCACTCTTTCTGGAAAACCAAAACAACTAGAGACCAAACGGGATTGGATACTTGGAGACATGTGATCACTTTCTGACCCTAAAAAAAGTGAAACATGGTTATAAAATGGGAATGGGAGAATGAGCTACTTTTCTGATTCAAGAACTGTGAAAGGCTGCTAAACTCTTTTCCTTTGGGTCATTTTTTCCTTTGATCAAAATCCCCCACAGTTGCTCCCCCATGAATAGTGATAAAGACATGGGGGTGTTGTATTTTCCCCTCCTTTTTCCCTGTGCTGTTTTCAGTGGCTGAAACAGACCAAGGACTGCGGGGAGGGGGGGCACGCGCAGTGATTTGGTCCATTAGGAGTCAATACGTGTACAGAATGCTGGCATGTGCTGGCTCCCCACAGAAAAAAACAATGCCCCCTCACAGCCCCTGGCTGTTTCAGTTGTTGAAAAGGGGACAGAGGAGAAGGCAGAAATTCCTCCTCCTGTGCAGCAGTCTCAATCCAAATTGGGCTCTGCTGCACATTTACTCACAAGTTGCCACTGTGAACTTGCAGCTACAACAGAAGTGGCCAAACTTGCTCAACGTAAGAGCCACATAGAATAAACAACAGATGTTTGAGAGCCTCAAGACATGAACAAATATTACATACATTTTTATTTTTAAAACATGCAAATTTGCTTTTTATTAACATTAAATGAGACTGTCAAAAATAAAAATAAAAGGGGAAAAACAGATATTGATGATATTTAATTGTCCAATGATATTTATTTGTTTGCTAATGATATCTATTTGTCTAAAAGAGAGAGAAAAAGAGAGAGGTGGAAAGAGAAAGAAAGAAACGAAGCAAATAGATGGGAGGAAGGGGAAGGAAGGAAGGGAGAGGGGGAGGGAAGGAGGGAGGGAGAGGGGAAGGGAAGGAGGGAGGGAGGGAGAAAGAGAGAAAAAGTATTTATTTATTTAGACATTTTTACCCCGCCCTCCCCGCAAGCGGGCTCAGGGCGGCTTACAAGGGGCATGCGCCCATAAATAAAGCAGATAAAACAATAAATCATGAATAAAAACAACAGTAACAATAATAAAGTGCTTTTTGTAAACAAGATGGTCTTGAGTGGTTTTGATGGCATCTTCAAATCTTCCCCATTGGGATGACACTGTCCGGCAGATAGTTCAAGCCAATCCCACACAATCCCACATTGTCAGTGCCATGCGATTTGTGGCGGAGCTTCCAAGGGCGATTTCTAATCCCGATGATATTGCCACCATTGGTGGTGGTGGCAGCGGCAGCCCCTATGCAAAAGCCTGGCGGAAGAGTTCCATCTTGCAGGCCCTGCGGAACTGCATAAGGTCCCGCAGGGCCCTGATCTCCTCCGGGAGCTCGTTCCACCAGGTAGGGGCCACCACTGAGAAGGATCTAGCCCTGGTCGCAGCAAGCTTTACCTCCCGGGGGCTTGGGATCACCAGGCGATGTTGGGTCCCCGACCGAAGTATGCGTCACCTTTGCTTCCCCAGCTGCCCTGCCGGGGGCCACACAATATGTGTGAAAGAGCTGCATGTGGCTCCCAAGCCCCAGTTTGGCCACCCCTGAGCTACAGTTTAACTGCAAGTCCCCATGGAGAATTTGTGCACTTTGCAGCATCTAGTTAGGCTCTAAGAAACATAGATCAGGCTTGTCTGTGATGGGGGTTGGGAGCATGCTGTTCCACTCCATAGTTCAGACTCAGAATCTTAAGACAGATAGCCAAATGTGAAGGGGGATCAGGTTAAGATATACCACATGAAACAGGGACACTGATTCAAGTAGCCTGCCTAAGACATATAAGATGACAGTACTCTACTTCTTCCATCTTTGGACAGAAACCAGGTCCTAGTCCTCTTCCTCCCCATCGGCTCTAGTGACCAGTTAATGGATACTTAGTAGGGCTGCTTTATCTCAGCCACACGTCCTCACCAAGGTAACTATCATATTTGCCTTTATCATACAGTAGCTTTCAAGCTAATACCTCATTTCCCCACAGGCAAACCACACTTTTGTCGATATAGTCGGAGTCATCTTTTAGGACCAATGCATTCACTTATATTAGCCACAGGTTCAAATATTTAAAATCCGTGTGGGTGTGTCCAAGCTTCTGAGTG